GACTTGTGACTAGCCTTGTGATGGACTCGAACACAACACTGCTACAAACCTTCAATTTGAGGAGTTCCGTTATGACACTGAGCAAGGCAATGTGAGGAATAGAGTCATAACACTGACTGATGTCCACTTTGACAAAGTACAAAGGCCTATAAAAGAAAAAAATGTACATGAAAGATCTTTTATTTCCTAATCAAGAGTCCTGTTTTGGAATTCAATATACAAGTAAAGACTCATCAAAAATCTCAAATTTGACAGGAACTTGTTCATTCTGTGGCTGTCTGCAAAAGGTATTGGGCCCTTTTCTTCAAAGCTTTGTTTTACACAGTGTGTGGTAAATCTGGTGTGGCATGACCTCACTGAAGTGGGTCTAGTGTTGCTGGTAAACCACCGGAACATACTCGTTCCTATGTGTACAGTAGTGGTTTCCCTGTCAGTCAATGACCTTTGTTAAAGGGGAACTGTGGACGAACTCTTCTGCTACTGTCTTCCATTTTGGAAAAGTGTGAAAAACACGGTGGAAATGCCATTTTCTGGGAAATGTTCTGGGAATGGCAGAAGGTAAAGTCACTGCGGCAGCTTTATCCCAAAATCAAGGCAAGGTGGAAAGTTTGAGTACCAAATTTACTGCCAAATATCAGACTCGCTGGGAGTGAACAATGCTAGTATGGACTCTGGATGGTGAGTGCATGAAATTACCGTACAAAATAAATTTACTACTTCAGAAATCACAGTTGTACGAAAATTGAATTTTAAGGAAACAATAACTTGCAGAGTACTAACTTAAACTAAAACACTGCCCCTGTTCACTACTGCCCCTCTTGACCCCTTGCAGCTGGTATTCAGTAGAATGGTTCATTAACATGGCGAGGAACCATTGAAAAAACATCAAGTGCAATCCCTCTATTAATGCTTTATGTAAAGTGGCTCCATGTGAAAGCAGGGCGCCCCATATGAAATAAGCAAAATTTTTCTCAATCCACGGATTTCTAGAACAAGAACAACTTCCACCTGCAAACAGAACCAGCCTCACCTGCTTTCCTGTTTCCTGTATTCCAGCACAAACTGCTTCCACTTCTGGTAGGCCTCGTTGATGCTGAAGAGGGACGAGCCTAGGCAGGAAGGTTGCCCAGAGCGATGGAATGTCAAGATGCTGTAAACGTCTTCCAGCAGAGTGTTTATGGAGACACTCTGGGGGGGGGGGATGCAGTTTGTGAGTAAAGAACATATGTGCAGTGACTTTTAGGATAAAGGACCTAAGGATCAGAGGTGTAGTGGATTACTTATTCAATTTGAGTTGAATGCCAAGAACTTGTGGCCTGGACTACTGACCTGAAAATCTCTAGTTGATTTGGCAGATAGTGTGGAACTGACTCCAGCACGTGAAGTTGCTATGTGCGTCCTTGGCAGTGTTGTAGTTGAGTACCTTTTGAGTAACACGCTCTCTACCAAATAATGAACTAGCCCTGAGCAGTGGCAAAGCTAGGATTTTACTAGTGTGGGGGGGGGCACCAGCATCTTAGTTGTGTGGTTTTTGGGAAGCAAGCTTTTGTTAGCCTTATTCAATATCCATTCATCTTTTTTTTTAGTGGGGGGGGCACCAGGAATTTGTGGGGGGCACATGCTCCCCCCCCCTGGGCTACGCCACTGGCCCGAGGGACCAAAGCTAGAAAACAACTACTATTTGATGATGCATGCACAAAGGTAAGACTACAAAATAAAATTATGTCTTCAAACCATCACTATTTTATAAAAATCATGTTTTCAAAACAAAAATACCCGGCAGTGTACTTTCCAAGTACTTTCTCTTTAAAATGTTTTTTACAAAACTGGCAGTGTCAATGTATACTTCATAGCACACATTATTGAAATAACTAAGATTACTCGTGTACCACACAGAATCTAAATGTGAGCTTTATCGATATTCACAAGTTCCCCTTAAGGCTGGACTGAAAGACACCTGAATGCACCTGTCCTTGGAACGAACTGTGCATCCATAAGGGAGCCCTGAGGGACATCCTTTCTGAGTGGCAGAGCGCCCTCTTTCTCTCTGCACAGGGTCCACTGAAGCACTTTTTATGATACCTGCTTGCCGGCCCTGGCTGCCTGCTTCATGTTGGTGATGGGCCTCAGGCTGCTGGCCTTGGGCACAAAGCGCAGTGAGGAACAGCCAAAGGAGGCCCCCGATGCGACAAAGCTTTCTGCCAGTTTCTGAGGCGGATATGAAGGCGTCATTGAAGTTTAGATAGCAGCATTTCAACACCAATAAGCCATTTGCAAGTTAAATATGAATAAAATCTGGTACACTGAGTTATCTGATTGCACATAAACAGAACAATTTGAATTCCCCAGACTAAAGACACTGTTGTTATACCTTGTGATTCAGGGTAAGCTTTTGCATCTCTGGAAGGGACTGGCACAGTTCCTTTGTGCCCTTCTTATCCATTGAGAACAGTGTATTGTTGCAAGGCGTCTCTTATGTAACTAAGCACAGGCTTGGCCCGAATCACGAGGTATAGCAATAGTGGTTTTAGAATGGAGGATTCCAGTTATGTTCACGTGAATTTAAAGACCTCAGTGTACCAGATTTTGGTTAATGTTAACTCGCAAATGGCTTATTGGAATAAGAAATCACTGAAAAGGCAACTAACACTTCAGCATTGCATTATAAATAAACAATTTGACCCAAAAAATGCTAAATCGTTAGGCGTTTTAAGCTTAACCTTTAACTGAAAGAGTACATAAAAGAACATACTACTCCTCAAAATTTAATAGAGATATTGACAAATTTATCTGTTTGAAATGGCAAAGAAACACTTACATCAGTGATGGGCTTTAAGTTTCCAGAGGCTTTGCATTCTGCAAATGATTGCAAAAAAGGCCATTTTAAAGGTTAAAACAAACGATGATTCATTCACATTGATGCTTCTGTTTTGTATTTTTTATTTGATTTTTCTGTCAAAGGCATGATAAATTCCTTGAAAAGAAAACCGAAAAAGAAAATTAAACACAGAAAAAGGTTACAGTATTAAACTTCCATCTGTTTTTACATTAAAGCATCAATCCTTCCGAAATGTTTCTCTTCTCCATTAAGAAAACCTGTTTTCTCCAGAAATGTCTAAAAATATGACCCACTGCCCCTCTCTCTATACAATGTACTTTGCTCCAAAATGAGGTCGGTGCACAGTAAATGCCAACTTGAAGCTTGAATACAATGGAGCAAGTTACAACACCCTATTGGTCTGAGATTCACTGAACTTCCGCAAGAGTGACCTATGCGCATGCACAGTAATGTCTGCCATTTCTTGTTGCCTGAGACCAACAGTCCACTCAACAAAAGTACTTTTGATAAATTCTTTGCTCACGTTCTAAGCCTATCTTCTCCAGCATGTTCCAGGTCGATTTACGGTAATACACAACTCCGTTGCGCGAAGCCGAGGTCTCTGTGACGTAAAATGCCATCTGAAACCAATACAACGATTCACTGTCAATCCAACTTCACACAGATAAAGACCAAGTTGCTGGGAACAGATTGCTTGCGGGTTGTGTTTCACGTGAAAGGCATCAGGAGGTTGCGAGAGGTTAGAAATGTATCACAAACTGCATGTGTTTTTGATAAATTAGGCCAAGATAAACTTTTGAACCGTGCACATTTTTCAACAGTCACAGACCCTCAGGAATATCAACACAGGCATGAGTGTATTGAGGGTTATGAGGTTGAAGCTTCTTATTTCAAACTCTACTTTCAGTCAAGTTTTCACGATTAAATCAAAAGCAATTACGACCAGCATGAGAAAAATGAAATCTAAGTTTTGCCAAAAAGTGCTTTTTGGGGGGCTGTTGTTTTTGTTGTTCGCAATGGTTGGTTACTGGTTTTTAAAGACTTGTTCCCTAGTCCTTCAAATTATCAAATTCTTTCTTCACACATTAGCGTTCATCCACTTGTGTAGCATTCTAGAGAAGAGAGGGTTTAACTGAGGTCCATTACATGTCCGTTCACAACAATAAGCAGGCAAATTACTAAAATACCCTCGGTTACCATCACTTCCACTCAGGTATGCTTCCATGTGCTGACATGTTACCATTCTGTGCACATTTAGATGAAACTGGCCAAGTGTCCTTCACCAAATGCCCAAATAATACAACCACACTCAGGGGCACATTTCCCTCATGGGAAGACGCTACCACATTTTGTACACATTCAGATGAAAGTGGTTTTGTACCCCATACCAAATGTGAAGATGTATGCTCCCGAATTTTGTGCACATTCACAGGAAAACTGAATGCACTCTGGATCACAAGTATTCAAAACCATGCAGTGTGCACCCTACAGCACCATCCACGATCTTTCTGCACTATGATACCTTTAGGAGAGCCATGACGTAATCTGACATGATCCAAGAGAGTAGGCTGGACACCATCCGTCGCTGCATCATGACATCAGAATGACAAGGCGAGCGACCTCGAAGCTTCTTCAGCTGAGTCCACTCACAATCCACCCCCTGATGCATTGTAAAGGAGATCACAGTACTTACACTGCTTTCATTCCTGAGAAATTTAGTTGACACAAGACAAGCCTAGGAGTACTTCCCGGAATAACACCATTATTGTAGGCCCATTCCTTCAAAAGTTTACTGACAGATTTGTCTTTTTTTAGAGGGGGTAACTAGTTATAAAGGCAATTCTGTGAAACTGGAAACTCTGAAACACTGTGAAATTTGTAAAATTTTGAAACGTGTTCGTGATCATATCATAAAAAACTTGAAGTGAAAGATGATCAAAATATACTATTCTCTCAAATAAACATGCTAATTCACGAAAGTACATGTTCACTGGCATTAACAAAATAGAACTTTCGGCTTTACGTTAATTTTCTTCGTGAGTTGCTCAGAGTCCAGCTTTTCACTTTTTCCAAGTTTAGTGAACCTTTCCACAAACTTGAAGAAGGCCCGACGATTGTGCATGGATCCCCACACTGGAAATGGAATGGCCCTCAACAAGACCCCCCTCAGGAAAAGGAACACCCTCCAGGGTTCCATGGTGTTATTCAACAGGTCTTGTAGGGTTGGGGATCCTTCACTGGCGACCCCTTGCCTCTGGGTTGGGCAGTGAGCGTCTAGAAGGGCAGTGATGTTTGTCTTCCTGTTGAAGAAGTGATTCAAAAAGAGCGTGAGACTTTTCAAGTAATCTAAAAGTTTCTATTACACCACAAATAGACTCTGTATTAAATTTGTGTGACCTGTCAAAGCTCAGTATCTAGAAGATGAAAATGGTTTACTTGTGAGCGACCAAGATCTCCTTCAGAAGCATCTGCATTGGGATGAATCGTCGCCGTGTTCTGAGAATCTGCAGAAGCCAAAGAAATAAAGGCAAAGTTACAGAAAAAATATTTTTGAAATGATTAGGTTTGAGTAGGAACCTGTCCTCGTGTTTTTCCATTACGACTCCAGTTGACTGTTTTTCCCTTCAGCTTTTTCATCTACTGACGCGCGATCATCATGCATGGAAAAACAAGTTTCTTTCTTTTTTCTACATCTCAAAATACGGCTCTACGACGAGTGGCTGGTAAAATTCCTTTTTCCCCAGTGTTTCTATGAGGGCAGCAAACGCAATGGGCAAGATAAGCGACACAATTCTACTGCTTTGTCACATATGCTGATCCACACGTCAACATAAAGGGTTTGCAAAGTTGAAAACTTACAAGGAGTTTCTAAGCTTGAACTCTCAAAAACTGGTACTTTTAAAACTTTATTCATTTCTCAATACAACTGAGAGGCCTCATACATATATTACAGAAAAATGGTTTTGAAGAGGTACCTTGTCCCCAAATTCAACATCTAATTGTAAAAGACTTCACCGTGTCTGTCACTGAATAATTTTTTTACCTTTGTCCTGCCTTGTTTGGCCGGCTTCAGAGCTGTCTGTGCTGGCATCACACTGCTGAGCAGCTTCCTCGCTCCTGAATTACTGGCTGGCAAGCACTCCAGAGGGTCTGTAAATCAAATATAAGGAGACGTCACTGTCTTCGAATTGCTCCTCGAAACACCATTTGTGACCTAACCTCAGAAAATGGCTCTGAAGTCGTCAAAGTTGTTTCTGAATTACAGGCCTCTAAACAAATCTTGCACAGTCATGGAGTTCATAGATTTGAGGTCCACTAAATTAGCTTGTGACCCTTTTCATGCTTTCTAGGTAACAATCTTCATAAATATTTCTCAATGAAGGGTAGAACAACAAAGACAGAAATAAAAAAAAATCTGGCGATTTGGAAACCAACTGTGTCCAATGTCAAAATAAATTCTACACGTCTAATACACACGGACATTGAGGGATTAAGTCATTAAGGCTCGTTTTTTGATCTCGTCAAATCTAGGTACATGCCAATTATGTTAAAGTTTTAAAAAGATACAACAAAGCACAACAACATGGAATCTTGTGTCAGGGGTGGGGTGGGGGGTTATATTTTACGCTTTTTTGACAAAAGCAAAAAATATCAACATTATTGAAATGAAATGGGAAAGTTTTGCAAATAAAACCAATATTACTGTGAGAGGAAAGCCAATCTTAGACCTGAAGTTGATATATACGAAAAGGAAAAAAAAACAACAGTAAATTAAAAGACAAACAAAACAGTGTGGAACTCTTACGTGATTTGGGGAGTGTACTACAGCCTTTCTTGCAATGACAGACACTTATCATGGTAAATGACTTGGAAGCAACATCTGGCCCAGTCTTCATACTGGCTGGATGATGGAGAGCCTTGGATGGTCTTGAGACCAAGTCATAGATCGGGACACCTTTGACGTAAGGGGGGAAGGGACGTTCGGGGAAACATTTCAACAGATTGAAAAAGTACCGATGAAAAAATTGATTTCTTTTTACGTTGCGGCGACTGTTCACTTGATGAGTTCGTAAATCAACAAAGAAGTTGATGGATCAATAAATACATTGTTATATCAGTCAACTATTTTATTGATACTTTAACTGATATGAAGAAATCATTAAGTGATGATCACCCAATTAACTAATTCAATGAATAATTAACTAATTAAACCCCCTTTTGCTGTGACCGTCAAAAACAGTCAAAAATTCCTTCAACTTGATTTCCCCCAGTACACAGACACATATGGGAAATTTGACTGATAGGACAACTGTGTCAAGAATGCATCTTTGCATGGGAGGGTTTTTAACGAATTCAATACTTAATTTATTATTAATTAATAAATCAAATTAATTACTTAAATGATTAATTAAGTAATCAAAGAGTGTAAGCAGTTGTTCTTAAACTAAACAGTAACAATGCCTACAACAACCAGAGAGTTAAACTGGGTTAATCCGGTCAAGTTTTAGTTAAAACTTATTAACGAAGACAGGGACAATAAAAAATCCCATAAAATTACAGTTACGAGTATCTCTCTTCCTTGGCAAGTGTACAAACTTAGCTTGTACACTCTGACTTTTTTTTCAGGCCAACAATCGTTGGCTAGATATTCAAAGGCGCACACAAACTCACCACAGACTTGGATGTAGCAAGACGGAGGAGCAAACAGAAACACGGACAGGTTGACCAACAAGTGGAGCATGACCTCATCACCAACCCTGGCCAGGAGGATCTCCCAGAAGGGCATCTTCACCAGGGCCTGGTTATTTGATTCAGGAATGCCCCATTCCTTGGTCTGAGCAATTACAAATATGGGGAGGGGGTTAAACAAAATTGCGTTTTTGTAAAAAAACGTCTAAGTAGCACATTAGTAGAATTTTTTAACGTAAAATTTCTCCAAGATATCCTTTCATTTGTGTCACATCATAAGGACAAAGCGTTTGTAACATGGGAATTGCAAGGGGGACGAGGGGATCTTCCCCGACCCCCCTGGAAAATTATGAAAAAAAAAATGGAAAGAAAACGAGATGAAAGGGGATGAAAATCAGCTTTTTGCGAGTTAAATTTCATTAAAATCTGGTATACTGAGTTATCTGATTACACACGAACATAACACTTTGAATTCCCCAGACTAAAGACTCCTGTTGCTATTCCTCATGATTCTGGGCAAGCTATTGCATAGCGACCATCTTCTCTGGAATAGACCGGTTCTTTTGTGCCCTTCTTATCCAATGAAAACAGTGTGTTGAGGCAAGGCGTCTGTTATATAACTAAGGAAAAGCTTGCCCCGAATCATGAGGTACAGCAACAGTGTCTCTAGTCTGGAGAATTCAAATTATGTTCACATGAATTTTAAGAACTGAGTGTACCAGATTTTATTCAAATTCAATTTGCAAAAAGCTTATTTGCTAAGAACAAAGTCTTACTAACATGGGAATTGCAAAGGGGGGGTGTAAAGGGGGGCCTTTTCCCACCCCAGGAAAAATTTGAAAAATAAAAAATGCGACAGAAATGGAGAAAAGAGGGGTTGAAAATCACCAATTTGCTAAAAAAACAACAAATAAATAAATAAAATAACCTCCTTCCACTATCAGTAGTTAAACATTTCGTTGCTGATTAGTGTTTTGCATGCCCCACGAAAAATCTTTCCTCCTACAAAAAAGGGGGTCCCTCTCCCCTGGAAAAATCCTGATGACACCTTGGTTGATATATAATTGAATTGTTATAATGTGTTAAGACAAATCAAAAAAAGGTAAGCGCATTTCTGTATTGGAAAGGTGAACTAAGATTACAGACTCACTTGAACCTTTCCAAACAGCAGGACGTTCTTCGTCATGGCCACGCCACGTGATCTCAATATCTGAGCAACAAAAGAGACAACTCTGCAAATGATCATAGATTTCTTAAATTATCTGGAAACAGAACGTAACCCTTCAGTATGAAATAAAGAATGCAGTGATGGATGATATTGTTTTGCAGTCTCAGGATGACTTTTTTGGGGGGCCCTGTTTTTCACTCCCCTAAGGATGATACGCCATATGAACACTCCAGTTTGTGTACCCTCCATCAACACCTGTTCAGACAGATTGATATAAGGGAAAGTAATCAAAGTTTACGGGAAAAAGCACCAACAAATAAAAGTGTTTACTGTCTGTGTTCCAACAACACCACATTGTACACTTATGTGAAGGCATGCCGCCACGAAATTCAATGCAATCCTCACCTGTACGGCCTTGGCCACGACCTCCACCTGATGGGAACAATGCCTGAAGTCTGTCTGTAACCCGAGCTGCAGGGCACCGTCATGCTCAGTGAGGACAGTCGTTTGTACAAATGTGCGAAAGCTGACAATTTTCAAAGTGGTTAATCAAAACGTCAAACAAAACTTATAGTAATATGGCAGACCACAGTGGTCGGCAAACTCTCTTCAGTTGGAACTAAAGAGATTAAAAAAACATTTTCTTGAGGTATGATAAACCAAACATTTCTCGATACTTTAGGAAATTTTACTATTATCAGTACATGTATACAAGTAATAATAATAAGAACTTATTTATCCCCTGGTTACCAGGGAACACAAGACCCTTATTATCATTAGCCTTGCTCACCAGGCTACAAACATTCCTCAAACCATTTCAGCTCCCTGGGGAACGTACAGCTTGATGTCACCATTTCTGCTACCGGTATCTGGGGGCAAATAGCCAATCAAACACAACAACCATCTCTGCCCTCACAGGTACCCACTCATATACTTCTGGTCGCAGAGAGGCAAGTTCGAGTGAATTAGCCTGCCCAAGGACACAGCATGTAACCAGCTACTGGATTCGAACCCCTGACCCTATGTTTTTGAGTCACAAATCTATAGCTGCTAGGCCGCTTGCCTCCAGAGGTGTTTAAATAGTGCTTTGTTTATCGTGATCTTAACTTCCCCAACATTTCTGGAAGGGACATTCCCCAACCCTGAAAGGGTTACTGTGACCTTGTAACAACCGGGTTGGCAGACAGCAAGGCAGACTAGATTGAACCTCCGTCTAATATCTTGGCTCTTCCAAAACCAATCTTTAAGAAACTTGGCGTGAATGTAAACACATCCATGACACACTGTTTTAATGCATTAGGTGATCTCACCCCCCCAATTAAATCAATAAATAAAAATGAAACAATTAGGATAATAATACTGAAAATGATAGCATCCTGTAAGAGTTTTATTTGAACATGCTGAGGATTATTAATAGGAGACTGGTGAAGTGGATAAAAATAAAGGGCAGAGCACCAGTAACTGGGTATTACCTTTGCTGTCCACAACAATTGGACATAAAAAATCTAACAGATCTCCCTCCCGAAAAATTTATGACGATAGTCTGCCGCTTTGAATATCTGCTTAAGATCAATTCAACCCAAGAAAGAGTTTTGTTATTCTATGCATATGGCCGTCATGCATATCAGCTCGTGCATAACTGAGGCCATGTCGACGGGGCAAGTTAAGACTTTTGGCCAACCTGTGTAGGAAGAAATGGGCATTTTATGAAAATGGTTTGTCCTCTTTGCATAAAACTGGTGTCAAAATGACCGCTAGACATCAGCAAGAAAATTCCCAATGACTCAGCATGACGTCTCCACCTGGCTCTTTTAGGGTCAATCTCTTGAGTCCTCCAATATTCTAACCTTGCATGGGAACCTGATGGCACATTCTTTATACTTCAACTTTTTAAAGGTATCAACCCCATGTAAAGTAGTACAAATTTCAGTTCATGCTACCCGCCGACAGACTATTGTGCATGCTGTAAATAGAAAGATGGTTAACTTGATGCATCTTTTAATTCCACACAAACAAGATAGCTCTTACTTGCCTAGGTAGATCAAATGTTTGCAAAATTCTTGGAAGTGTTTTACCACCAACACAATACTGAAATTAATGTCACCTTTTTTCAACCGATGCTTGATGGCAGCACGTGCATGCATACACACGTTCCCTTTGCTTTTCCGTAACAGCCTGCAAATTAGCAACTCTTTCACAAATAAAAAAGGTACGAAAAAGGATTCCTCATGAAAACAAATGACTGCTGCTACTTATAGTCTAGGCGTTTCTGAGAGTCTTACCCAACTTTGTCTTGGGGTTGAATAAGACCTGGACAGCCGACTGCTTCCAGATATTCAGACAGAGTGAAGGTCCTCGGGTATACTTTCTTCAATACCTCCATCTGAACAAAATAACTGAAACAATTTCATGTTCCAATTATTCCCTACACGCAAACAAGCCAACATTTAGATACCTCATGAAAAAGGGCAGCTATCAGTCAGAGTTGCTTCAACTTTAATGATAAGCAATGACTTTGGCCCTTTCGATGCAACAAATGCGGTCGTACACAACTCCAACATTTATATTAATGACACTTGTGACAGCACTGATCAGATAAAATAAAACGGTGCATGCGTTTGTTTTTCATCTGATGCATAAATAAGTTAACACCTGGTTTCTTTTTTTGTATTAAGGTTTTGGTACCTTTTCTGAGACGGCTATTTGAAAAGATGCTGCTAAGATTTGCACAAAGTACAGGCCAGGTTTGAAAGATGTTTTCGTCTGCAACGCCAGTGTTGACACTCAATTATCATCAAAAGTTCAACTGACATTTTCACTAAATGTCCAAACAGTATGAAATATTCCTATTACTATGAGCCTAGCCCTACATGTACGCTCAATCAGTGGGGCTATGTACACACATATAATGCATCTGGTGTTTAGCTTCTTTTGATGGAATAAATTCCTTTATTTAAGCAACCCATTTTTCTAACACTTCCTACAAGGCAACTTTATCATTGCAAACTAAACAGTTTCACACATGCCTGAGTGTGCGCATGCAAGTAATAAACCTATCTAAAGAATTTTAACTTGAGCTTTAAAATGCTATAAACTAAAATAGCTCACAATGAATGCTTGGGCACTCAGAGGTTAAAATCAGCTAGCAACTCATTTCTCCACAGGAAAAGGCCAGTTAATTTTTCTTTTAATCTGTCAAACGTTTATTGACAAACATGGAGTAATGTTAATTATAAGCCACACATATGCCAATTCATCATGTTCATCAAGGACTGTTGTAAGCTAAGAAATTTTTTTAAAAGAATTGTGGGATAAAAACAACAGGATAAAGAAGTCCACATGTAATTGGATGCACCCCCTTCCAAAAATATGGATCTTAGGGGACGGAAAGACGGGCCACATAGTTTTGAGGGTAAACCTTAGCTGAGACTTGATAGCTCGTTCAAGCTCGAGCGTACAGTATGACTGCATGCCCCAGGCACGACGAGCATGATGCTAGGCATATGCTGGTTTGCCATCGTCTGTGAGCAGGTGAGACTTTGACAGCTCTTGTGTCCGAGACGTAACGACAAAATAATTTAAATATTTCAAGCTCAACCGAAGTTACCCGCTGAGGGATATGTAGGAGCATATGCCTGTCTCATTCAATTTACCTGTCATCACGAAAGTCAACTAAAAACCAAACTTTCACCAACTTTTTTAAATTCTGCAGACGGGTTTTACTTTTTCATACAGGCCGCCATTTTTAAAGTCAGTCCGGTCGCCACAAGAGGGCGCACGGAATCATAATTTTTCCCTACTTATTACTTCTAGCCAATGAAAAAGGCCGGAAATGTGGTTGCGGATATGGGTTCCATGCCGCTGTAGTACACTAATCCAAGTGATAATTTCTCTCGAGGAAAAGGGCCCCGTCAGTTTCTTTTAAAAGGGGATTGTTGGCGTTTGATCGAAAAAGGGTGGGACTGTGTAAATATAAAACAGGATTAAATCCCTGGTTTGGAGGGCTTCCATCTGAGGGCAGAGATGGTAAAATTTCAGTTGAAAAAAGGTCTTAAGTGCCACTTAAAGTGGAGGGATACCAGTTGAAAAACTGCCACTTGCAGGCTTGAGAACAATCATGGGGGTGGATGGGTTTTGTTTTCTGTGAATAATTAAAAATGTAATTGGCTAACCCACCGCAATTTGAACAGATATCGAAAGATTGAGGACAACACAATAATAACTTTCTGGTTAAGAAACGTAAGCCCAGTGCACGGCGTCAGCTTCCATGTTGTTAAGCCCTAAACTTTGTTTATTTTACACTGTTTTAATGGGGCTTGAATTAGTGAACTACACTCACAACGGGAAGTTTAAACAACGACCATTTGGTGCACCGTGTTAATTTTCATTGGTTAACTGTGTTCCAAAAAAATCCATCCTGGTTTCCAGGTCAAATCAACGCCAAATAGTCGTCTGTCGAACTTCCCAATCAGTTCATTGATTTTGCGCTCAACAAGGGAAGTTCGTTCGTTCCTATCACCAATGCCTTGGAAGGGCAAACGCATGAGGTAATTTTTTTAGTCGGACACTCAGTGGTTGGAGTGCATTTTGAACATAAGACGTGCTCCCTCAGCAAGTAATCCACAATGCCTTGCGCGTCTGTAGCAGTGAAGTATTTCCCAGGGCCCTGTAAGGCCGGTGGGGATGATCGAACACTGAAAGGCGGGGGTTACAAAAGCGCAACAAACTACAGCAAACAAACTTTGATTCTCCTCCCTATTTCAATAATGACCTTTTATTTTTTTAAAAACAATTTTGGTGCATAAAGAAATAAGAGCACAGTGTGTGTAGAAAAATACAAGACATCCATGTAAGATTCTTCAGCAAACTATAGTCACAAAAAGCTAACTACTCCAAATAAGAAAAGAGCAAATTCATTGAAATATGGACAAAACCTTAATTTCACATTTCCTTACAGAAGTGCACGATTTACAAAAAACCTTGATTACCAATTCTAGCCAACACATGAGGACACCTTCAAATAACCATGTCTCAAACTAAGAGTTTATGCTTTAAAGGTGTGTTTTAGAAACACACGAAATACTTTTAAATAAATTTAAAAAGTTGAGTTAATGACATTTCCTTCGTTTACAGAGTCATAGGGCTCAAGTCTTTCCTAAAGGCGACCCAGAAAAAGTTTATAACTGAATTTCGGCATTAACGCACAAAAACATAAAGAAATCTACACCTGTACATGCATTTGCACTTAGCTCACTGGTCCGGTAAACGTGGGGTTTGAAACTTGACAAATGTCTTCCAAAACTGTGCAAAATCAAATGTATAAATGCCTTCGAAAATTTGTCCAATTATTTTACTGGTAAAAGGGAAAAAGAAGGGGAAAAAATAAAGAATTAACACAAAACATGGACGAAGTACCAATGGTTTTATATTGCCCGATGGGTTCACTTCCAGTTTGTAAACCATACCAACTCAGCTCAAAAGCCTAATACAAAGCGCTGGATCAAGCACACCCGGTACCCAACAAATCACTGCTTCATTTTATAAGAACACAGTGATAACTAATGAAGTGCAAAATACCTTCAAGTGACATCAATATAATTCGCTAGAGGCAGGCTGACTTTGCCCAGGGATTCCACACCAAATTGAAACATTTCGCCCAAGCAATGTACAATTTTAACTTCCGCATAATTATGGCACATGGGCAAATGATTCAATTGGGAACTGAACCCCACTCCGGGTTTAAGAGGGTAAGTCCTCACTACGTTAATTAATGGGGAAGTTTCCTGTTATTAGGCAAATTGGTCCTGTGGACTTCCTGTTGTCTCCGCAACATTTTTGGTCCCACAAAAAATCGGTATAATGACTAAGGTACGTACCCACAACTACGGAACAAGTTTCCAAGCGTATGCCCAGACACCTCCATTTTTAAAATCAGATTTAAAGGTTTACATGCACTTTGGGCGTACAAATAATTCTTTATGTACCAACCAAGACCGTGTTTTTCCCCGCTGAGGTAACATTCAAGATGGAATAATTCCATAGGAAACTTAGTGCAAATCAAGGCTTTCCGTGGTAGCCATCTTGCAGTGCAGCTATTTTATTCCACAGCGAAACCTCCTCTGTGCATTCCCTGTGGAACAAAAGCACTGACCTCTCAGATTGCAGCCGTGCAAACCCTCTACAAGATTTTCTAAAAAAAAAGGTTTAGCCTGAACTTTTCTCATTAACTCGAAATGATCCCATGGATGGGCTCCACACCCACTCAACCCCACCTGAGACAAACTCCATAAAAACGAGACATATTTTAGTCGAAACCACGCAACAGATGCAGTAATATTCATCCTTTTAAAGAGAATTCTAAACAAAAATAACAAACATGAAGGGACCAAAATGGGGTGTGTGTGTGATCCTGAGGAGGGCAACATCATTACAATGAGCAATCAAGTATATTAACTATTATAACCAATGTACCCAAAAGTCAATTTTTTTCAAACAAAAACTGCATAATATGCCAAGCATCTTCAACTCCTTATGTAAAAGTAAAAAAAGATACAAGCGTGTAAGCCGGGCTGGCCAATCACAGATCAGCTCTATGCTGGGTCACTACATTTAAGTTGCCCGCAGATTTCAAATGCGTCAATTCAATGACGGTTCAGTTTTCGAATCGCACCTCTCACCGAGATATACTCAGCTTCTCGTAAAACTGACCAGCGTCACTCAAAACGCTTTCCCGCTAGAAATCTGCTTTAAAAGAGGAAGAGAGCTTCCTCATCGGATGCACATATTATCTCCCGCGTAAATATGGTCTCCTACATAAACACTTTCTCCCGGATAAATCTATTGCTTACATTTAACAAATGCCAATGATTTTAATAACAAAAAGCGATCCGTGTTCAGAGTGACTTTTTACCCGCCTATCATATTTTCAGAATCAGTCCACATTACCGCAAATATTCTTGCTAAGTCTTTGGACTGACAACCTGAACAGATGCGTGTCTTTGGCTTTACAACTTTTACTGATCAAAATTCTAGAAAAGGCCACGGTATTATATGGCACAATGAGTAAAGATTTTAACATAACTTTTTTTTAAAATCTCAAATGCTAAATAAAAAATCCAGACTTAAAAACTATGTCTCGTAACCTGGCAAGTGCCAATACAAATAAAATATAAATTATCTAATTCTTCCAACCTGGCAAGTGCCAAGGCAAATAAAATATACAACACATCTAATCTTGCAGCTCAATATTGAGCAGAAATATGTCGTAAAATTCAAAGTATTAACTACCATGGGTCAAAGGTAACCAAACAAATTTGCATTTCTTCCAAATTTTAAGACAATATAAAATAAGCCAATCCACAGCCAGAAGTAAATCGCTCCTTAGTAAACCTGGCCGCTATCTCATAAATACATTAAGAAAAATAAGAACTCTTGTATATTACGAATCGTATTTACAAGATTTTGGTTAAAACGTTTCTGAGCATGCTTCCCAACAATCTTATGGTCTATTCAAATCTCTGCTAAGTCATAGCAAAATGGTCCCATGTATCAAGTTGTGTCACGCGTACGACAATATGATTCAGTCAACAACTTACAAACTATGTGGTCCTTTTCTTGGCCAATCATAATTCAAGACAACCAGCTGATAGAGCTGGGTACAAAAATGTCAATTACAAATCGCTTTCATAAAGTCATGATTATAAAGACTGGTTGGAATGGTGGTCATGAAACAACATTATCGATATAATACGGCATGATACTTGGCTCATAAAACATTAGTGACAGAGTCTTTAAATTCTAACACAGATGAATTGGAGACCCACTCGTACTTTAAAAGAGGGCCCAAATGGGGACAATTGTTAACTCAAAATCTTTAAATTATCATGTACTTAACAAATTACATCCCTAAGGTATCTCTAAAAATACGTTAAGTATCAATAATCCCTGACTCGTATGATCTGTGGGCAGCCAGAATTTTGCTGGTACATGTACCTTTAAGAAAGCATACAAAAAGCAAAGAATTTGGAAAAAGCAAAGGTCAGGCTTAACTCTGAACCTTCCCTAAAGTTTTACCTCAAAGAGTGAAAATATCCCGTTGTTGAATCGGAAACTGAAGAAGATTCTCGCAAGTGTGACTACGCACCCAACTAACTTGTAACTTTTGCAGTTCTCGGTGTTGGGCGACAGGGTGACTGGGAAGCCTTCAATTAAACTCATGATAGCTTTTGCTTCTGTTTTTAATTTTGATTTTTTGACCTGATATGATGTCACAAAAAGTGCGCACAACTTACTTTATAAACCCATTTGATCTGGTGTTAAGAGTAAAAAATCCAAACAAACAAGAAAACGAACCTAAACCATGGGAGAGAAGAAAATGAGTTTAACATCAACGATGCCAAAGTGTACAGTGCAAGGGCTTGGCTAGAACCATTTCGTCCAGTCATTCCAAAGTCGCTTTTTAAAGGCAAAATAGTCCTCAATTTTCCATTGTTTTGTTATACATTTGTTATACACTAATACATTTGGGTTTAGGAGTTTGCTGTCAAATTGCGGTTGGCTTGCAACGGATATAACAAACACACTTATTTAATGATTCCATGCTTTGAAATGTGTCAGAATTTTTCTTCAGTCCACAAAACAATACCCAAACCCATACCTGCATAAAATGGTAAAAACTGGTAACATCAACTTCTGGGTGGCATTTTGCATGTACACGCACGGCAATGTATACATATAGCTGGGCATTACTTATTGCTGACAGATGCGACATCACAGAAATTCCCCCTGCGCGTACTAACGAATTCGGCGACCAAACTTACAAGCCATTACTGTTGGGCCAACCTGTGCACACGCAGGTGGTACGCGCACGTTACGTTTCTCTCACACCAAAAGGGTGTCATGAATTGCCAAAATGCACGCTTGGTCCTAAGTTAAAACCTGTGCGTAAATGCGATGGCCCTGCAGGCATGGCGTCTTCCTGGATTTGTTTACATGAGACTGCTCTGGCATTTTACTCGAACAAAATCAATTTGTAATTTGACAGAAGTGCAACAATCCCATACCTTTCAGATTCTAGGGTCCAAGAAAATACTCCATATTAAATACCAGGAGGCCCACAGGAAAATGTTAATGCCTCATACATCCCTAATATTGCGTATGTAATTACAACAGTTAAATTACAGCCTTAAATGACTAGGATATACTCAAGTCTTATGTTTCGCAGATATAAAATAAAGATTTCTTTCATATTTTAAACCTCCAGATATGTATCAAAAAAGGTTAAAATACAATGTTGAAATTGACAAGGTATGTAAAAGTAAACTTGAATCGAAAAGTCTTTAATTCGCACTGAAAGGCTATTAATTACTCAGTGAGGTTGAATTGTAAAATCTGGAAAAAACTGCCTGCTGCCTACATTCTACATTGAGGAAAAACGATGCCCTGAGTGCACTTCTTATTCAAGAAGGAATATGAGCTCATGGCTGGCTATTTCCACAGCTGCAACCATGCTCGACGACTGAACAAAAAAAACTCATGGTGCAAATGTGCACAAACAGGAATCAAACCCACATCTTTTTTTTTGGTTAATTTTCTTAAACTCACCGACATAACATGGCCAACCACTCAGCTCTTATGTTGCAAACACCAGACAAAGCACATCTTTCTATCCAAATATCGTGCAAAATATTCCACGTGTGGGGACTCGAACCCACGACCCTTGCCTTGACAGCTCAGCCTCTACACTACGATGCCTCGCGACACTGACAAAAAGCTCCATTTATGGCAGTTCATCTTTTCTTTCCTCCTGCCTTTTCACAATCCAGTATTGTAAAATCCATCACATTCAGAATGATTCAAAACTTCGTTTCATACTGTTTTCAAACACAACGAGGCCCTTCCTGTTTTTAAAAGACCCTGAAAGTGCACACTGAAAATACGTGCCACTGTTTTTCTTCGCAAATGCAAAGATTTCTGCTACAATGACGCAACGGTTTACCCATGCCGTTGAAATTGCTTAAAGAGCAATCACAACAAAATTTGAGAGTGCATTTCAAAAGATGAACGATTATAAGAAGTGGTTTATATTTATATCCATGGCGTCACCTCTCAGTTTCACATCAAGTTTTTCGTTTTTGGGATCTTCAATCAATAAACCAAGAACCCTGTAGTTTTGGAATCATGATTCAGCCCTATTACTCAGGGCTGAAGTAAACTTCTAGAAATCAAGAGCCATCTCAAAGATTGCACCAAGCCATAAGCGACTGCTTCTCTGGCTAAATTCAAGTAGCCAACCACCATTCTGAATGTGCCACTGCATTCAACAATTATTATGAACGACATTTGTGACTGGCTCTAGGAAAATGGGTAATAAGTCCCCGGATTCAGGTTATGAGTTTTTGATATGGCTGGATTTTGTACATCAAGAGCTACAATTTGATACATGAATGACCCCTGCAGTGTGCTGCATTCTGGAGATACACAGACATTTGTATATCCACATTTTCAGATTCAATAAAAGCACTTTTCGAGAAAAAGCTCATAATGTGCAGTGCTTAGAAACACAATGCTAACAATGCTATGTAGCATTTCCTACTAAATGATCAATTTTTTCATTCTTTATTCATCAGTATCCATGTTTGTAGTCACAAATTCTGAAAATATAAATGCTACAGAAACTATTTAAGGAAAAAACACAAAATCACATTTGTGAAGAAATGTTGCCCTCTCCAAAAGAACAGGCCATAACATGTTTTGGCACTGCCAGACTTATTACCCTTTTTTGCAGAGCAGGTCACATTTTACACTTGCTGCTGTGACCTTTCACTTTAAAGACTATAGAGGGCACTTCAGGTCGGTGAACGGTACACCCACTATAACAGTGCGAATGGAATGATGCAACACATACCTTCCTCCACTGTAACAATAGCTACAACTTTTCACAATTCCGATCAGTTTACAACCCCTTAAGGGGCTTATTCCCACGAACAACTTTAACCACTTCCTGCTGGGTGGAATTTGCATATGCGGGACGAGTTCTCGGGCGATTTTCAATATTTTGCATTTTCAAAAATTCTTCAAAAATTCCGAACTTCATTTACTGGATGCTTACACCCACACAAATGATTGCCTGATGGCTACTCTAATCTGACAGGCAACCTCCATTGATGCCTAAGTACTGCCACCAGGCCTGCCACCCAGTAAAGAGCGCCCAGATTGTGCGATGTTGTGTAATTTCCTTTGTTCCTGAAATTGGCTCAGTGCGTTGCTGAATGGCAGTGGTGTGTTTTCAAATCCGGCCAGATTAGCATGCAGTAATACTGAATCGCTCATTGCTGGAGTGCTGAAGCACATTTGTCCCGCTGATAATCCACGGTAGCCTAATGCCGCAAACATCAGTATACTGTTTCAAAACAATGACAGATTACCTCTGCTAATGCCAGCTAAAAATGATGGCAATACCCAGCAGCTCGGTCTTTTGTTCTGAGTACAGTCTTCTGTGACAAGGCCCAACTCCTTTGTCCGATTTCGGATCCAAGGTACCCGGTACCGGGAACACTGGCACGGAGTGATTAATCTGTGGGAAACTTTGACCGCAAGCCACATCCCAGCAGCAGTCAGCAATAACTTCTCAGGAGCAAAAAATAGGGGATGAAGTGAAATCCATGAAACATCCACTTGGAGGCATTAATTACGGCAAGAAAATACTCTGATTTTTTTCAATAATTTTTAAATAGCTTACAACACGTGAGCTTACAAAGCGTGAGATCCCTCACAAATGGCTTCGAGTCTGAGAGTATGTGAATTTTGCACTTTGTATGCAGCACTGAACAGTAGCGAATCCTGACTGGTTACACCTCTGACAATCCACAAATTTTGGGTCCGACATCTTGAAACCTGGAAAAATCCTGAGAAATCGCGGTCCTGACAGAAGTACAAGAACCACGATAAATGACAGACTGATTAAAATCAATTCGTGAACGGTCATCAACGGTTGGTCTAGTCTACGAAATCATACGAGGGTACGTCAGACTGCTGGATAGCATTGTGCATGGCAACGCACAGCACGGAGTTGGAACCGCCACATTTCTCCGAGACTGAACGCTGACCATGCCGGATTCCAGCTTGGAGGCACGATCATGGAATGACTGGTGCTTTAACCCACGGCCGTGTATCCAACTTGCTGCCCGCTGTTGCCGCCACATGGATGTTCGTTGTAGCTGCAGCCTCTCTCCCAATCTGCTGCATAGAGGGTTCTGCTTGGCAGCGCCGCTGCTAGCTGTACGACGGCCCTGGCTGTTCGCCGTCTCTCTTCTCCAGCTCCTTGATTGCTTGTTGGATGCGCTTGATGTGCCCAACTTTGGTCACTCCAATGTCCTGTGAAATAGGGGTGCAAAAAACAAAACAGAGAAGAAGAAATGACTATCCAATCTGTAAGATAATGATGTCAGAAGCACCGGATAAACACATAGGCTACCACTGTTACCACTGCAGTAACATATATGGCGTTAGTGACAGAATCTCACAAACAAGTCTTAGGGACTTTTTTCACCAGTTATTTTCCCACAGATGTCTTGATGAAAATGGACTTTCAATATTGAGGTCCGCCATTGATTTACATGGTGCAAGACATTTTCAAAGGCCTGTAAATCAAAACAGTGGCTCTGGTGACTTGCAACTCACGTCGTTAGGTTGGCCTACATAAGCTCAACACACTGTTCAACTCCATTTACCACACACTTCAGGGTATGCACACATTGTTAGCAAATGAAAGTCTTTATGTGAAAGAGAACGAACACAGAATAAGGACTTCCAGAAGATTTGAAAAAAAATCTGGTGCACGGACAAGATCACACAATTATTTACACTTCCACATACTAAGAATGTTGCAGGATTCAAACTGCAACAGGTCTTTCCCACGGGACACCACCTTCATAGGAAACGTATAACTGTGTCTTCGATGCTAGCAGGTGCACATGCGAGTAATGTGCAATGTTTTTTGACATCTGTAAATATGTAGAAAGTGACGTCTACTGACTGCAATACATGTGGTAGAATTGAACCTCCTTTCTTGGCAACTCAGAAAACATGGGCATGAGAAAAGGCCCACCGTGACAATCTGGAAAACCAAACAAAGTTTGGTGGAGGTTGGCTCTCGGTCCTCTCTAGCCTACCTTGAGGTCTCGTCTCTCCAAGGTGAGCAGCTCGGATCCCCTGATGTCGTTGCGGATGAAGTTGTCACGGTACTCCCCGAGGGACAGGCTGTCCAGCCAGAGGCCAACCTGCTGGGGGGTCCAGGCTCGGGACGATTCACCCGAAGCTGAAAATAACACCCCACAATTTTTTTTTTAAAATTAAAAGAAGTCGGTCAAACAAAATGTCCCTCAGTCTCTCAGAGAAACCTTCCTCTGAGACTAGACAGCCCTGTATTTGCATCCACAAAATGCATTTTTATAATTGCAGGTCAAGCAAAATCTTGGATCTTTGGAATTTGGATATGTCATTAGTACTTTATAACACCCAGGTGCTGATGTATCCCTTCCTTACATTAGTACTACAGCCTCCCTTGACAGCTGTTTCAGCACTGTTAACACTTGAGGTACCCTTATCTTTAATTGGTACTCTTCTGAAAGGCCATTCGCTTTGTTTGCACAATACAGCAATGAAAAGATTTGATAAAGGGTACGGCAAAGCTATAAGTGTGAATCCCCCATCATAAAACTGAACCAGGACTTGAACCGCAGACCTTGAACAACTACTCCAGTGTCCTACCAACAAGCTTCAAGATCTACAATTGGCCAACACAACAAGTCTTAACCTAGGCTTTGTCAAAATCAATCGGCTGTGGCTGAGACTAATGAATGGTCTATGAAAAGTGGCTACATCCACCAGCCACTGGCTTGCATAGACAAATATGTTACCCTCGCCTGGGCCATAACTTTTGGACACGGTCTCAGACAGGATCTGAACCTGTGCCCCCTGACATACAAAAGCAGAGCTTCAACAAAGCAGCAGGGCCTTATTTATCAGAAATGAGTTTAATCCTAATGCTCCCAGCATTGAGGAAGAAGGCTAACTCTACCATTACTTCACAAAGAGCTTGACGCTCCTTGAAAACTCAAATACAAAGAATGTGCCATTGGTAAAGTTAATCTTCTGTGACAATGACGCCAACTGAGAGGCCTTGGCTGTACTTACAAGCACCCTCTGAGGATCCCCCGGGACTCCCTGGTGCCAGGGCCGGCTTCAACTCCCTCTTGGTCGGCTTCTTGAGGCGCGACACCATGGGCAGTTTGAAACGGCCTTTGGTCCGCTTGATGTAGGCATCCGGCTGCTGGAGGAAGGACAAGCAAACAAACCGATTCATCGGCTGACTCTCCCCAACAAACAGATGCAGTACTGGAGTATAAAGCCATGTCCAAATTGGGCATTTATCTGGCCACGGCTTTGTCTTTACCCATTAGAGAACCCCAACAGACAGCCGAAGCCAGAGACCAAAATGCCAGTGTTGAACATGGTCTAAATTACAAGGCCAGACGGGGGGTTCAGAAAGGTCTGGTTTCAGACCTGACGATGTCGGCAGAACTAGTGGTTTGTTTTCGCAACTTAAATTAAGCTTAAAAGACTCAGGTTTCAATTCTAAGTGCTGGGAGTGTGCTGCTTCCTTGGGCAAGGCATGCAACTTTCTCTATCCCTTCTCCAACTGTGGATCTTTGAGCAATTTGATATGGGACAAAATCTTCCCATCCCAGTGAAACCTCACACAGAAACTTCAGCATTGAATTTTTGGTAAAAAAGAATATGTCACAGCTTGTATTCATCAATTCAGTCGGCATTTTAAAAGACAATTCTTTTGCTAATGAGAACAAGGGATGATGTATTTTTGTGAGTGCAGACGCTTGCATGTGTGGTGCAGACCAGTTTTTACTTTAACATCACAGCCTTTGAACTGGTGAGTGCTATGCCAGCCCGCCAGCCTCTCTCTGCTTTGCCTGTAAGGGTACAGAACCGATGCCACCCAAAAATTGGGACCAACTTCGAACTGAGCTGATGACGCAGCAGATATTTACATGAGGCTCGTCATCTGGGAACCCCAAGGCGCCCTCAATCTGCATGACCTTGCGCAGCTCCACGTCCGTGGCCGAGACGGCGCTGTTGAGCCGGTTCAGGATCTCGTCGCTCAGCCGAGTGGTGTAGGCCTTGGCCGCCAGGAAGAGGCTGGTCTCGCTGTGCAGGTTGCGCACGCTGTTGACCAGTTCCATCAGGGCTTTGCGGCTGGTCCCCTGCGAAAGGAGTGGACAAAAACAGCGTGCGTGTGTGTAGGGGGGTCACACTTAAACTAATCGTGGCTCCGAGTTGATGGCATGAACAACCGACATAATGATCCACATCTGAACAGAGCTGTAGTACCTGCACTAGTGCTATGTTACTTCATGTTGTATCCATTGGGGCTCATACTAACGAACAGGTACTCAACTAAAACTCAGCTTCTGTAGTGTACTCTCAGCTGTCACTTTTGATAGTTTCTCAAATTATGAGCCAAGCACATGAACAAAAAGGGGCTTTGGAGCTAATGAGCTAAGGGTGAACGCTCTTTGCGTGAGTTGCTGGTGTAATACATGCATGAACAGTCTCCATTGAAAGATGTAATAAACCCACAGGGTCGGAGACCCCTGATGCGGCCATCTACTCACCTCTCCGACTTTCTCACTGCCCCAGAATCGGTCCATGGTGGTGGTCACGAACTGCGTGTAGTGCATCAGGCCAGACTCAATGGCCCGGTTCTGCTCTGCAGCTCTTTGAATGCTGGGGAAAAGTCACAGATGGCTACTAATGAAACAACATGATCTGGGTAGGAGCAATCTTTCCCTTGATGCCGTTCTTCATTAACCCTACGGGTCGTGATTCCTCAAAGTTTAATACGATTTTGCATACACCCTAACAGCTGTTGGTTTAAACAATGGCAATTGACATCATTTTAAAAGCAAAGCTCTGGAAAAGTGCGGGGCAAAGTTTGACCAGAAGTACACCATGACATAAACAGAGTATCAAAGCAATGTCATATCCCATTGCTCAAAGTTCATGATAATAGATTTCTTAACAAAACAGCAGAACACCAGTGTTCTGCTATAGAAATATCAAATTATCTAGCAGGAGGCTGAAGGTTTGGATATCTGCATTTATAAGGTCCTGATGGCAACTGCTCGAAACTGACATTTGGAGCTCGAGGTGAGAGCCGAAGATGGAGACAGAGTGGTAACTTGGGAATAGCCTTTCTTTTGAGGCAATTGTTCGCTTACCACGTGACCAGGCTGTTGACCGTCTCGCAGAAGTGCCTGACCAGCACCACCTCTTCATCCGACAGTGGCTGCAGCTGCTTCCACAGCTTCTTGCGGTCCGTCCACGACTTCAAGGTGTTCTCAAAGGCCTGGGATTAAAGGTTAAATGTCAAGGAGTCATGATATGCCACCCTCCGTGTGCATACCTCCTGTGGAATATTGGTGCCTTTTCAATGTTATAACAAGGTATTTGAGCTACGATAGCACAACTGCCTGCTAATGCATCATTTGATTCATTGAAACAAATACCGCCCTCAATGGGTAATGCACGGAGCAACTACTGACCTTATCCCTGACCAGCATCTGCGCCCTGTTCTTGTGGATGATCTTGATGAATCCTGGGGGCTGGACCCAAGCCTCTCCGTCCACCTGCACTGGCACCCCCTCCTCACCCAGAATGGTGATCTTCACCACGTGACACTTTTATTATTCAAAACAGAGAGGGTCAAACAATAAAAATGAAATTTAAAAAATGCAATGGAACATCAATTCAATATCAACATATGATGGCTCCTTCTATTTATTAGAACCAGGTTAGATAACTCTTGAGGTTGCCCACTTTTTACTTTAACAATTTTCTTTTTAACCACTGACATTTTGTCCCTCGGGGCCAAGAAAGTGAAGAAATGTTCAGTTTCAGAGGTGGGAGGAAAACCCCAGATGAATAATCTGGGGTAACTCGCGAAATCAGGTAGGGACTGAAAACCCAATCTACATGTCAGTCTGGGCGGGATTTGAGCCCGGGCCGCACAGTTGGAAGTTGAGGAAAGTGCCACTACATCAACATATAATACCCAATGCAAAATTCAAGTGCTCACAATTTCTATCTGAATACTCACAATTTTATCTGAGTACTCACAATTGCTGAGTACTCTCCATTTCTATACAAGTACTCACAATAGCTGTCTAAGTACTTACAATTGCCATCTGCATTCTCACAGCTTAAGTACATTAAAAGCCTCTCAGCTTCATCTAACAGCCGAAAAGGATTCAAACTGCTACTATAAAGACATCCCTTTGTTACTATTTACCTGCTGCTAGAAGTTGAAAGTACTCGTAGAAACTTGAGAAATGTTCTTGCAAGGTGCTTGACTACAGCTCTGAGGTGCTTACCTGGGCTATTCTGTGATGCTGCAGTGTGATCATCCGAGACACGGCCATCTGCATCCCGCCAAACACCGCCACCACCTCCAGAATTCGGTCGTCAAATGAGGGCGCTGTAAAGGTCTGAAACATCACGAGTGAAAACGTGCAATGCAATAACTATTAAGCGATTTGTCACTTTGGCCATGAGTACTTGTTAAAAGTTAAGCATTTCCCCTAGCAGCATAAAAAGCCCTGTAAGCTCACAGGAAAATTATATTTCGAAAAAATCTTTTGTCAAAGAAAAAACAACAGAAAAACCAAACTCATTAGCAACTTGTATTGAATTGAAAAAAAATAGAAGTTAAAAAAAGCTGAAGAATGATCACCAATGCCTTTCACCTGTCAAAGCCACAAGAAAGAAAAATATAAACCAATTGCAAAAAACAACAACTGATAATCTTAGAAAATGGAACTCTGCCTTCTCCCCCAAAAAACAAAAAAAATCAAAGAAGTACTTCAGTGAAACTCACCTCGTCCTCCTTGGTGCTGCCCCAGAAGTTGGCCCCGCCCATGTAGCTGGGGATGTTGAGGACCACGATGCCTTGCAGGCTGGGCAGCGGGATGCGCTGGCCATCGCACTCCAGCTGCACCTTCTGCTCCAGGTTGCGGTAGGTCCGCTGCAGCAGCTCCTTGCCGCCCAGCACGCCATACCACATCATGTTCTTGGTCCGACTTGGGAACGGTGACAAATGACGATTTTACGACATTAATGACAACGACATGACACTGTACGACATGAATGACAATGACAACGTAGCACCGACAGCAGTGCCAATGGTGGGCATGGTAGCATTAATGTTGTGACGATGAACAAGGAACGTTGTGACACATCATAACAATGACATTGCAAATGACAATCTTTTGAGACAATCGCCAGTTTCAAGGCACAGACTGTTAACAAATTGGTTAAAGCTACATTGTACAACAGCCATATGGGCACCTTCTGTGGCTAGCCATACTGAGTGGACCTGAGCTAGCTTGAACATGACTTTATTGTAAGTACATATACTGACTGGCTACCAGCAGTAGGAGTTGTGGCTTAGTGAGTGTACTTTGCTACGTCTTGTCAACTTATTTAGTACAGCATTTTTAAAATTCCTTTCAATTGAGAACTTCTTGCTGAAAAAACACTTCCCCCCAATAAAATGGATGTCAGGTACATGTAAGTCCTATTTTATTTTCATTTCAGCCTACGACACCGTCTCGATTCAAAAGAGAAGTACGCGATCCTGGCCTTACCTGCATTTCTCTGGGTGCTCCTCTCGTTTGTTGTGGAAATCCAGTGTAACTTTAGCGTCCAGGCCGATGCCGAAGTAGTTATTCATCACGCAGGTCTCTGTGTACCCCTCGCTGAGAGGAAAAAGAAACACGGAGCAATCTACCCGTAAGCCTGGCAAACCACTTCAATCAGTGCTGTCGGTTATCAAAAATTGACGCCGTGGAAAAACTTGGAACTGGCCTGTGCCAAATTTTACTGCACTGCAATGGATAAACACACACACTAATCCATGTGTTTTGCGTTAACATATTTCACAGGTTGAAAGCATTTTCAAACCATCAACCCTTCACCCCCCTCAAAATTTTTATCAAGGGCAACAGCAAAACCGGCTGTGCTTTTGTAGTTTTTTGTACAAAATCTACTGCAAAGACTACCACTAACACCAGCAAAACATCTTTCTGATAACTGATACTCTTCTTACAATAACTGCTGCTGCCACATTCTGAAAACTTAGAGACTTCCAAATTGCAATTCATTCACATGAGTGCTTCTGTGGTGACCAAAAATGCTGTTGGGGGGCAGAAAGTCCCCATAACTCAGTTCTGATTTGCTAAGCAACAGGCAACTTCCCTTTGAGCCCAGACCTCAGCCAAGAGAGGGCGCAATTTTCCTAGCAATGGAGGCTCCTTTGGTTGGAACTGCACTTCGCTGGTTCACTAACGACTATGAAATGCAAGTGTTATGGTTGTGTTGCTACCAGCAAAATGAACAATCCTGACAAACATGGCTCTTTTCAACCAACGAGGGATGCTTCTGCTCAAAGCGGATAGTGTGGTGAGTGCCTACCAAGGCCGTGCTCACACTTACACAGATTCAATGTCTTGGTCCATGAGCGGCGAGGCGGCGGCACACAATGCGTCGGCGTTGGCCAACAGCACCTTGCTGATGAGACCGGCGCCCACGAAACCACCAGAGAGGCCGCTGATACCTGCCGAACAGTAAGGCAAAATATCACTATGTGTAGCAGTCAAGACCATCAGAAGACCAGACACAGGACTAGTGCAATACCAGACAGGAGTAACAAGGTTGAACAATAAAAAAGGAATTCTCTTATTTTTAAGCACTGAGGTGAACGATTCATCGTATATCTGATGAACCGGCAAATCGATCATTCTGGTGATTTTCAGATTTTATCTCACGAACTGACAAATAGGTTTAATAGCAGTATTCAAACAAAGTATTGCTCATGGAGCCAAAAATACAAATTAGGAAATGATTTCAAAGACCACTTTTGTGTCTTTTTACACAGAGATCAAAAGAGGGTTGAATTTAATAAATATCGAAAACAAGCACACAATAACTGCTTAAACTGAAAACATGTTTTTCCGAAAATGGTGATATTTCATATTCCTTGGTTCGTCAGATACGCGACAAATTGGTTTGTCATACCTCTGTCTCAAGGAATTTTGAGAAACGAGCTCTGAATTTCAGAAATTCTGAAGACAATAGACCTACTGTCAAACTGTTTAACTAACATAACAGACGTAAACGATATCATATGTAAACAAACTGTGGTGTGGGTACCAGTGAGTACAAGTTCACGCCATGAAGTCCCTGTATTACCTTATGCACTGCACCTACAGGATAAGAACGAGTCTGTTATACAAGCGTGACCACTGATCGAATTCCCTGGTAACCTGAGGAAAAAAGTATCACGGGTACCATGCAAAACTGACAAATTATGAGTGACAACAGTCGCTCTCGAACTTCCTGAAGCTGTGAGTGAGATATGCGGATATATCACCCTGTCATGCGATCTTGGCCAATGAACAGACAGTATCCAAGACAGAGGCATGACAATAACTCTTGGAGTATGACCACGGTCCAGAACAGACATGGTCAGCAGAGTGCTATAAATTTCAGCCTACTTACTTTTACTGAGCATGGTGTTTCCTCTTCCTAGACTTGGGCCCAAAAGTGTGTCCAAACCTAAAGACAATGCACAGCATCGAGACAAATGACCATTCAAAGTCATCCAAAGCACTCACCTTTTGCCTTTTTTTATGTTATATTAGTAAATGACTTCTTTGAAAATTCCCTACCGTCAACGTTCATCCTACTTTTTTTCCCCCCGTTTCTTGTCTGTTCTATATACATGTATATGCATGTCTACAGATGTCGGTGTAACTTTTGATGATTTTTTGTTTGCTATGTCGTTTTGATACATGTACTTGTTTTTTTATAGTTGTAAGTTTGATTGGAAGGTTTTAATGTGTATTGTCATTATACAAGATGATTTCAGTGATTTTCCTGTTAAGTGTTTTGATGTTTTTAAATGTATACAGAAGATTGTTTGGTAATGCCTATGTAAATCAGCTGTATGGCTGCGAAAAGGCAAAAGTAATAAACCACAATAAAAATAACAATAATAACAGTAATAACAAATATTACATAAATAAACATTTACAGCTTTTATTTTTGAAACACTGCCCAAATTAACGGTCGTTATTGTTGAAAATCTACCACATTGTGGTTACTACAATGCATGTTCAAGATCCGTGTTTAAAAAGAGCAAAATAATGCCGAAAAATTATAAACAGAAATCCAGAGTTTGCACAAAACTCAGCTGTTTTGAAATTCAAGTAAACACGTGCAGAGAAAAATGAAGAACCCAACACAAGCTTTGACAAAGAATTTCAGGCAGTACACTACGACGTCCAATTTCATGGCGCTGCTTACTCCAAGCGAAAAATCGGCGCTTCTTGTGGTGGACAATTCTGTGCTTACAGCGAACATATTTCACAGGTTAGCAAGAAGTTTTGGCTTGTGCGCATATGTGCGTCCCATGACTAAGGATTCTGTGCTTAAAGGGTTAGAACAGAATTTTTCTGCTTGCGCGGTTAACGCAGAATTGAGATCGTAAGTGCAGACTTCTGCAGAAAGCAGCGCCATGAAATTGGGCCCAGGTGCTATTCCCCTCAATGCCTGGGTTCTGCTAGTGTAAAAAGTATCCCGCTATTTTGCTGTGAATGTCACCATTAGCTAAAACCGCAGTTCCTGATTATTTAGTTTGTCATTTAGAGTATAGTACAGCATAAACAAGAAGAATATGCGACAATTCTAGGGCAGGGTATTTAAACAACGCCCTTCACCATGATTCCAGACACCATGAAGCAAGTAATGTGCAGGGAATGTGTGAAATGAGCTCACACAAGTAAGCAGAAAAAGCCTGAAACTGTACAACAGTGGGCAGACCGGCATCCATGAATGCATCCCGAGCACTGGCTCCCCCACTGGAATTTAACCCGATCAGAAACAAAGTTCTTGCACCAAACCCAAAGAGCAATGAAATTGTGACAATGAGGTGACTATGGTATAGGCTTCTATTGGTTTTGCGTGCTATTTACTGAGGCAACTACCTAGCAACACAACAATGAGCACTGGCAATTTGCAGCAGGTTTATGCAGGGCTGCCTATACATTGGTCCATTCCATATCTGTTAAATGCACGTCATTCTAGTACTCTTTCGATAAACACTCTCAATAACTTACATATATGGACTCAAAAGCACTGAACAAAGCAGTTGTGAAAAGGTGCCTTATATTTTGCAATCGAAAGCAACTAGAGCCAACGTTGGCGTGCAGCACGCACGGCAGATATTGCAATGAACTGCTCACTTGAGTTGGCTTCTTGCAATTTCATAGACAAAAGGCTCTAAACGTGCAAACAAAGGGAGGATCCAATGGTTATCTGTTTCTGCCCGCCCACTTGCCTGGCAGGTACGCTATGTTCTCCATGCTGCCGAAGCGGTGGGCCAGGCCCACGGGGCCCGGCGAGAGAGTGCTCCCGCGACTGACTCGTCGCGTCCGAGGAGACCGCAGCTGCTCTCGCTCTAGATTGGTTGGTTGGTTGGTTGGTGGGGTAGGAGGAAAGATGAGATGTGGGTACAACCGGGGAGCAGAGGGCGAATGGAAGAAAGAACAGACCAAAGATTTATAAGGATTGGGAAGGCGAGAGGGTTCAAGAATGGAAACGAGCACGGAGCAAGTTTGATCACAAATGACTGATTACGAGAGTTCGACCATTCTTCACTGAACAAACACTTTTCAACAATAGTTGCATCTAGTCGACTCTTCAGGCCCATTCAACCAAGGTTGGTTTGCACCACTGCTCAACAGCCAAGCATACTGTAATACCCGGCTACGAGCCAGGATAGTAAGTTTCCATGATGATGGTTCATGGTAGTTTGTGAGAACAGTTCAATACTAACAAAGTGATGCAGGAGTATATATTTTTCAGCAATGAACTCTCAGCTGACCAATGATCTTTGACCTAACTCGCTCCAAAAAGCAATACATCGACAAATTGAGGATGACGTCTGGCAAAATTTGGGGTGCACAGAACTACATCTCAGGTCACTTGCCAGTTCTGTGGACACTGCATTTTTGCAGTCTAAAAGGTTTCTACAGAGTAAGGCCTGCAGAATTTAGAAATGCATTTCAAAAATAAAAAGTGCGTATGTCTCTGCACATACCCTTAAAATGACCTTTTTTAAGCATCCTCAACTGGCCACTAAAAATGCAGCAGTAAGTATTGAAAAGTTAATGAGAAGCAAGATAAAATAAGAGTAAAATGTTGACTATGCAGCTTATTAAAGTGAATCCACCACCACATTGTGAGTTTTCCAGCAAAAATGAAAAAGAATCTTGCCAAATGGAGAGATGTATACCCAGCAATTCCACGACGCGTGAGCTATTTTGCTCAAGAGCATTATTTCACACTTACATTATTTCCTAAATACAAAAGAAAAAACTGACGCCCACGCAAATTCCTGTAAATTAGGCATCGGAGCCTAGTTAGCTTCGCCATGCTGAAAAAAATGGCCTTCACCAGCGAGTAGTCATCGGTGCCTAGACACACGAGACCACTTTAATATTAGCCCAAGAATACAGAGGAAATCATAGAAAAAGAAACATAGAGTGGCTTGATATTCAAATAAGCCTGCAGCATGTGAAAGATGAAAAAAAAACTAGTATGTAAATGGGTTTCAAATGAGCAGAAGTATGGTTGATCATGGTTGACCTACCGGCCTTCTTGCGCTCAATCTTGGCCTTGGTGGCGGACGTGAAGACAGAGAAGGACGTCTTACCAGCCTCCTTGCCAGACTCGGTTGCAGACGCCTCTCCTTCCCCGCCTTTCTTCTCTTCCCCTTCCACGCCTCCTTCTTTTTCCTTCTCCGCCCTGTCATCTTTTTCTTTCTCCTCCCCCTCCTCCGCGGGCGGAGCCACGATGGTGATGGTGGGTTGAGGAGGCAGAGGGTAGACTTCGGCAGTCGTTGTGGTCACAGTGGGGGCACTGGGAAGGCTGCTTGTGGTTGCCATGGCTGCTTTATCTGCCAGGGCCTTTGCTTTTGCCTCATGGTGCTGCGTCTGGGCATTTTGCTCGTCGACAGCTAAAAACCACATAAAAAACATTTCTAATGTAACAAAAGATATTTTATATTTGTTTATTCCACATCTAACATATTAAGCATGTTTTCCTTTTTGAAATTAAGAACATGCCTTCTTACAGTTCTCTGAATGGCTTTTCAAGACTTCTCATGATTTTCAGAAGGGCATTATGGGAAGACCTTGACTTTCCATGTAACGTTTTATAATAAAGTTCCAAATGAATACATGTATGATTTCCAGGACTGAATTGAAAATTCTTCAAACATCAGTTCCGCTGCTTTTCCTTCAAGAAACAGATTTGGATGCACTGGTATTTTGACAGATTTCCAACCCAAATAAGATTTTCTCAATTTTCTCCAAGATTACTGTGTCTTTCTATAAACGGCTGTGCCCTCTGAAGAACAATTCCATGGATAGGGTGAACCTATCAGGCTTTCTTCTCTCACTTATCAAGACTTCTTTCTAGATTTCTGTAACTTCCCCAAAACTTCCGCAACAACAGAAACTGCTAGTAAACAATCCAAAGAGCTTTTTCTTTTCATTTTTACCTTTCTCCGTCTGCTCGATGATTTGCCGCACGGCCTTCTTGAGGCTGTTGGCCCGGGACATCAGGGCGTCACGGGGCTTAAAGACCTTGCCCGAGGTGGAGGGCCCCGTCATTTGCTCTAGCGTGTCACCGTCGTGCAAGGAGTCCTTGCAGGCCTCATCCAGCGAGGGGCCAGTAACAGCAGCAGCGGTGGCGGCCGCCATCGTTGGGGGCAGGGTGCCAGGAGGGATGGGCGTGGCTTGAGCCTCATCCTCCAGGGTTTGGAGGAGAAGCTTCAGTTTCTCGTTCAAAACGGCACACTAGCATGAACAAAGTACATATGAAATATAAATATAACATTGCGGTTTGTGATTGAAATGTCCACAAAATTATTCAAAGTTTGTGAGATGATCAAGAGATGATTTTATAAAAGTCAAATACTTAAAAGCAATCTTTTTGTAAAAAAAAAAAAAAAAAAGAAAAAAAATGACTGGATCCTACAAAATTACTCAAGGCAACTCCCTCAGTCATTTATTTAGTTGCATTAATAAAAAGAGCAAACTGAGCTCTCTTTTTTAAAATATCACTCAGCTTGGCATCCTGGCCAAACAATGGACACTACATGTCTATGGATGGAAAAATTGTGAGAAAGTGACACTGTGCCGAATGCAAATAAAGGTCTTCAACTCAAAAGTTTGTCTGGTGACCTATGACTTTTTTTTTTTATGTTGAGTCACAAATGTTTCAAAATCCCTACCTTTTCTTTCATGATTTGTGCATCTCCCGTGGGGCAGCTCTGCTCATAGGCACGGCCGACCTTCTCCACAAAATCCTTGACCGTCTCGCATAAAACCCTGTAAGAAAGGGATGCCTTTCAATCATGCATATTGCAAGATACAACCATCAATGAAATACTTTTGACAGTTGTTTTTCTTGGTTCAAAATGTGGGTCTCCATTATTTCAGTTCTCGTCTCGTTTGTCTGTCACTTTCTCCTTTCTGTCTTTTGGGTTGTCTGTCTGCTCATGTGTTACTATGTCAAGCTGGCTGTTTTCCTTCACCTTGAGGTACTCTGTACTCTGCTGTCTCTCTACTTGCCAGTCAACTGCATCTTTGTACTTCTTAAACATTTGCCCATCACAACAGATAAATTTCACCCTTTTTGTTTTAAATATGCTATATTCTTTTTCATCACTCTGGTGCTTTTTTGTAATTCTAACAGTAACACATTAAGTTGATAACTCTAAAATTTACATGCACTATTGCCTTCTTGCGGCAAGAATGTCTTTTGAAAACACCATTCTTTCATTTCCCTCTCCTATTTTGCCGTAAAGTTTTCGCAAATACTTTTCACTCGTAATCACACGAGCTTTTGCTACTAAAAGCAGGTGAGCACAATGTGAAAATACATGTACCTTTGTTATATTTTATACAGCCTATAGCTGAAATACTTGGGCACTGTGATACTTGCAAAGTACTTATGAAGACTTGTAAGTGCTTGTATAGCCATTGTGAGTACACTTAAAGTGCTTATGAAATACTTGACTACAACACTTCTGTGTTTCTTATCGATACATACTTGGCTGATGATATGACATCCGTGTTCTCGTCACAGTGCAGTATCTTTGTCAGGTGAGCTGCCACTGAGTCCTCGTAGGCGGTGATCATCTCCTTGTCCTTGCTCTCTGCTGAGTCCGAGACATCCATGCTGTCTGCCTTGAGGTCCCCGGCCGTGGCACCAGCCGCTGACCGTCTGCTGGTCGGCAGGGGGGACTCTTTGGTGCAGATACTCCACCTGAAGGAAAAAAGAGTCGAAGGGGGGCTTGACTCCAGAGGTTTAAGAATCAAGCCTTGCGGTGCTGAAATTTATCAGAAGTCATTGATTTTGTAACATCCTTACGACGGTTTCTTGACATCTTTGCTCGAATCATCTCTGTTCTTACCTATCAAGCATCTTGGTGCTAGCCCGCTCCAGTTTCTCCAAGATGGTCGGGAGCTGCGTGTCGTCATCGCAGGCGGTTCCCCAGCCCAGCACACGGGCCAAATCGTTACCCGTACCCAGAGGTAGAACACCTATTTGGCACTGAGCAGAGCAGAGAGGAGAATACCATCAGTACACCGTAACTACCCGGGTACTTTTGCAGGGAGCCATTTTGAAGGCTCTCCCGTTCACCCATGTCAAATTTTTCGTTCCTTAACCCTAGCTTGGTTACAACCTCCCCCCCTTCATGCAAGGGAGTCAGGTTGGCGCAGTGATACTTTTCTAACCTTCCACCGCTGCGACCCGGGTTCGACTCTCTTCTCAGTCGATATGTGGAATGGGTTTCCTGTCTGTACCTACAAAATTAATCTGGGGTTTTCCGCCGAAATCCAAACTGAACCCTACCCTCATCATACTATCAGCTGTAATCTCAGCTGTATAACCTCACCTTTCCCAAGTTGCTAATGATGGCTCAATGAAAATCATACTACAGATGATGTGTCTACTATCAACAAAGTTTTCCTTATTATTATAGTGAAATTCAACATTTCCATTGTGTACAACGTGGACAAGTCCACAGTTCTTCCAAAAAATTGAAAATACAGTTTCAACTACAGTGAACATTATCCCAGTCAGACATCATTTCAGTGTGATTACTAACAACAGAAAAGCTGATAATCTGAGTTTAATGTAACTCCTCTAACTGGAGGATATTTGATAATAACTCAGGTGACACAAACATTCGCTCATCCCATCTCTCCAGGCTAGTCAAGCTGCTGCTACTCAAGTCAAATCCATGAATGTTACTCAAATGAACCCTACGCTAGTTGGCCATGGTGAATTGCCAACTTGACAGCCGAACATTTAGTATAAGATTTTGAATGGTAAACTTTCCAGTGCCTTTACCTGTTTATGAAGGTCCAACTTGTCAATTTCCGATAATACCCAGCCAATGCTGCCATCACCACCGCACACTAAGATCCTGAAGGTGTCAAAGTTCTGAAAGAGCCGCAACCTGCCAAACAAGAATGAAACAAGACTTCAAGTAACAAATCTACAATGCGACCTTTCCTGAAACATGATATTTAAATGGCAAATGATTGATCCTCACCAACTAAACTGTTAATTCAGTTTGTGTGGAATTTGATGGAAAAAGGTTGAATATTAATTGAGGAGCAGGTGGTATTATACATGTACGTGTATGTTTCAGAGTAAGATCAACTCTACATTTCCACTGGACCCTGCAACTGTGGATTACGCAGCACAATGCACATGGACACCATAGTACATGTACATGTAAAAGTCAACCCTTATGCTAAATATGTGTACATGTATGACTAAACATATCGGTCAATGTATCACTACAGTGAAGTTTCTTTGACAAAGTTTACCAATATTCACGCGTAATTACATGACCATAATCATAAAAACAACCATAACCATGACCATGGAAAATACCTTGACAATAATCATAACCATAACCACAACTGTAACTATAACCATGACCATGTCTACAACCATAACTTGCTGAAGTGTGAATTACTTTAAGCCACCACGAATGGGAAGCTACCGGTAACATTACGGCATAAAAGTTGTCAAACAGAGGAGCAGGCGGACACATACCCAATATGGGGGCCACTGTTCATCAGGTCAAACACCTGGGCCGGGTTGAGCAGCTGCTTGAAGCGGCGCAGGAACTTGACGCCCTGGTTGTCGCCGCTACGTGAGTTGACAAAGACCAGCAGCGGGCTGCTGCAGCCCTGCCGTGTGGCCTGCCAGTAGCCGTCTGAGCTCATGGAGTTGAGGGAGATGGGGGGCAGGAGCGAGAGCCGGCACTGGCCCAGTGGGCACTTGGCTGGGTACTGGGGCTTGCAAGTCGAGTGGACCTGGTGGAAGGGAAGTTCCAAACAAAGACATTTTTCATTTTAGCCCTCTCAAATAGGAATGCACTGAATTTCAAAAGTTAACCAAATTTTTAAACTTGTGCTGGTTTGTGTTTACTGAAAATAGTTTAAAAAGTTTACAATTCAATTATTTTTGGACACAACTCAGAATACAAAACAAGGCTGAAATACACCCTTTTGCCAAGCAGCAGACAAATTGTAATTACGTACTCCTCAATTGGCTTCTACTGTCTGCTTCATGTTCTTCAAAATTAACAGCAAAATCAAATTGACTTTGTTAAATCAATGTTTAAATTAATAATTAGACTGTCTGTTATTGAGGATTTTCACAATGCTTCAAGATGTACAGGATAAGGCACTCTAAAGTTCAACAGTCGCTAGATTCATGGTAACATTTCACTCATGTTCTTGAGGCCCGTCTCAAAACGAATTCAAATTGGATTGCTTCGTCAGGTGCACTTGCGGCACCATGAAATTTTGAGCATTATCAAAATGCTGTCATGGGAACTCACCATGGCCTTACACCAAAGGCACCTCCAATCCTGCAGGCGCAGTACGCTCCCACAGGTCTTGTCACACACTACACACTTGGCACTGACTGGTAGGTTGCCCTCAAGCCACTGGTGAGGAGTAGATATCTGGGAGCAAGGTTGAATGGAAGACATAGTTAAAGAAACTTGTGGAAGATTTATTCAATTGATGAAGTTGTTCTCGGGCTAGGGCTTGGGTGATCGGTCAACCCAGGTACATTTGAGAACCTCTACAAAGCATATTTGGCATTTGCCCCTTCATCTCTGTCAGCGGATAGACTCCCAAAGAATCCAGAAGACTACATGTGAGTCAATTGCCAGCAAGCTTCACACGTGAGTCAGTTGCCAGCAAGCTTTACATGTGAGTCAGGTGCCATCAAGCTTTGTCCTCTTTATTACCATATTATAACTATTGAGAAGATTTGCCACAAATGCCAGATATAACCTGAAGTAAAAGTGAAGATAAAGGTATGAAACCATGTTCCAGGTGCTGTGTATTGCATGGATGTTATACTTTGTTTTATTATAGTAAACTGCTAGCTCATTGGTTAATCCCCCTCGAGCAGAAGCATCCCCCTCATCGGTTAAAAAAGAGCCGCGTTGGTAGGGCATATTCAATTTGTTGCGACCGTGATTCATGCATTTCCTAGTTGTTCATGAACCAGCGTGGTTTAATTCAAACCTACGGAGCCTCCATTGCTAAGTCAAACAGTGCCCTCTCTTGGTGCAGTCAGAGACTCATCAAGTTCAAAAAAAGACAGCAAACTTGGAGACCATCAGCTAACAGCTAGTTCTAGTCCGAGTAAACTTCCATGCCAAGATTTTAAAGTCAAATTGAACTTGAATTCTTGTTTCTTGTTTAATGACATGGAAAAAGATAAATAAAAAGAGAATGTGCATTATGCACACTGCCTGTCAAATTTGATGTCCATTTCGCATTGCCAAAATGCCTACTGAAGTTGTGAAGAAACTTCCTCTTCCGGTGAAAAAGGAAGGACAAAATTTGCAATTCGGAGGAAGCACGGAAATGATGCAGCCGTCCCCTTAGTAACAGGATCACTCCCGCATGAATGGTACAGCAGTGCTGCATTCTTCTGATGAATGAATGATGCCCACACGCATGCCTCTTCAGGGTAATCGACATTCATCTCACAGAACACTCTCCACTCTCTGTCGTGGGGAAATTCCCAATCGGAAGATTTCTAAGAAGCTTTCAATGGGCTGCGGGGAATTCTCGCCGTGGGGCACTGCCACGCCGAAAATTGATGCCCGTCTCCATTATACCAAGAGCACACTTGGGAGTAATTGTCCTGGTCCATGCTACATGTAGTTCGTGCCAGCATTCATTTCAATAGGCTTTTAATAAAATGCATGGGTCATGCTTGTCAGTGCGAATCATCAAAAAAGGCTATTATGTGATTCACAAGGTTAGCAGGCAGGATGGTTTATTAAGGCTATGTAGGCCCAATGTATTTGGGCTTACAATGAAAGCCAATGGAATAAGCTTGTATAAACATCCTGTCCGTCCTTTAGGCAATCAATGCATACATACACGTACATGTACTAGGGACGGTATGCGATAGTTGTGTTACAATGAGAGCAATGCCGAGCCACTCCTTTACATTCGGGAGGCCAAATTGGGCATCCAAGATGGAAACTCTCACTTCTGTTTGCATGTGTTATCATGATGTTAAAAAATTAACTTATGCTTAGCACATGGAAGTGACCATTGCGGGACGCATGCAAAATGCCCTCAAAACCAAAGGAAAGTTATTTGGGAAATACATGTACATGTTGAATTTGCCAAACTGAACAAAACATTTATACAAAATTAGAGGAAAATTTGGAGTAAGCCTATTGAAATGAAGCAAACAGGGTAAGCAAAGACATTCCCATATCTTTCATTTTCAGTCAGCTGAAAAACAGTGTGTCCGATGGGAGAAATCTTCTAAAACAAGGCAAAGCCACAAATACATGTCACGCTTGGCTGCCACCTGAAATTACATTTCTCAGAATCTAAAAGGACACGGGCAGGACAGACATGCCACGTATTTCTGAGCTGGATAAAATGAGTATCTTGGGGACACCACTGGCAGGGCTTAAAATTGGTCTCGGCAATGGTGGCAGTAAAGAGCTGACCTCAAAAATGTTCAGAAATAGGCCTCCCCAGGATGCGGCAAGACACCGTTCTTCAAATCCGTGAAAGATTGGTTTTCAAATGCCAAGCCTCTGATGAAAACTACGGAATTCTGATAAACAAGTCAGCAGTTGTGTTAAAGAAAGTTTTTTTGATATTCCTCCATGGACTGATGTTTCATTGAGGGCCTCTTTGTTTCACTCGGATTCGGATCTCGATCAGAAATCTCAACACTGGTTTGCTCTATCTACTGGGTAGGCTCTGGTGTTGGTGAACCAACGTTGGATCACTGATTGCAATCCGGACCCGTGTGAAACAAACAGGCCCTGAACTTTCTACGTGTTTAGCAATTCGAAGGAGAAATTACATGTAGAACCTTCCCAGCTGCGATGTATGTGTTCTGGTCTGGCAGGTAAAAAAAACCTGCCGGATTCCAAAGTGCACACGTGGGAGCATGCCTCACATATTTTGCGGTTGTCGCGTGGGCATATTGATTGGAGATCAGGGCACTAGTGCACAACACAGCGCCAGCCACATGTGGACCTGTGAATGGCCGCGAGAGGACTGTATTTCTGGGGAACTGGGGCTGGTCCAACGGTGATCACTCACAGACCTGATGAGGGGTGCATTTCATAAAGAAGAACTTTTCTGAATGATGACAGTGTGAACTGTCTTCCGTAAAATGCTGCACGGCAATACATGCCGGCAATTTCTCAATGAACTTGGTTCCCTCTCAACAAAAACTCGGTCATGCTTCCAAAATCTGGCCTCCAAAAATTTTGCAGATGCTACAATTTAGTAACATTTATCCATACAGAAAGATGTTTGTCTCAAAAAGTGAAAAACTAGGCAGAGTCTAATCTAGCCACCTACATGTACTCCACTTGTCTCCATAACAGGTAAAAATATTGGACAGTTTTTGCTTGTTAAAAATTGACAAGCCTCATCAGATAGCTCTAAGAGATGCCGGTTTTGAAAAATTGTCCCCGGAGAGGAGGGCAGGTTTAATCCTACGTAACTGGCTGGGAACAGACAGATACTGAAATCCTGGATGAAAATCTTGATATCAGGTCCATATCTGCCTCGGGCAGAAGCTCTCCCCTATCGGTTGAAAAGAACCACGTTGGTCAGGAGCGTTAATTTTTGTTGGCAGCCATGCGAGCGTAATGTGCGTATTTCCTAGTTGTTCATGAACCAGTGAAGCTCAATTCCAATCAAAGGAGCCTCCCTTGCCTCTCCTGGTCCTGCTTGAGGCCCATTACACGCTGACATCTTCAAAATGTTGGGCTTTACCCCCCAACTACTCCTCCAGGTAACTGTGGTTTTAATGAACAGGCACACAATGTTAAGCAGTCTCCACGCAACACGCATGAAGATGCAAGAGCATCTTACATCAAACTTATCAAGATTTACAAGTAAAAACTAGCAACAAAAGCAATTATCACCTCAACGAGGTTAAAAAACTGGACGTCTTCGGAGTTGCCGTAAAACACAACGCAAAAAGCAGACACTGCACAAAATAAGTCCAGGCTACAAACGACAGTCTGTGTACTTTTGTCTAATCTGCTATTTCTTTACTCCGACATCATCTGCAGCAGCCATCACAACTGCTGAGCAGCTATAAACCCTGTTGACCCGGGATGCTCCTGGATGTGGGGGAATGCGGCCAGGCAGAAGATTCTTGTGGGGAAGGCGGGCTGTGTCCTGCGGTTTAGTATTTCATCATCAAATTCCTGTCCAAGATGTTCTTGACAGTTTAAAGAGAATGACCCTCTTTTCCTTTAACCTTCTTTAAAAAAATTATTTATGAAAAGATCAATTTCTTGCTGCAAAAGACGGAATTGCAATTTGATTTACAGATAAACATTACCACACACATAAAAACTTAAAAAAAACACAACAAAATTATTCATTAGAAAGATACATGTACACGGATACAAAAATTGTGTTAAAAAAATACAACATTATACAAATGAAATACTCATTTCCCCAAGTGTTGATTACAATTAGGTCTTCACACGTGCATTCAACAGTTTTAATAATTCATGGAATAGCACTTTGAGAGTACATGTACCTCTCAACCTTTGTCTTGGGTTCAACAAACTGCCGCCTTTGTCTACGAGAGTCCTGACAAAATTCATTCAGTCTCCCTTACATTTTAGTCTTCTCTCATTTTTTATTCTGATTTTTTTTCTTTAAATCCTATTCAACACATTAACTGGTACCGTACTTACATCCACTTTGGGGAAAATAGATCTTTTTCTTGGAATGGATACGAAAAAATGTCATGTTACTTTACTGTCAAAGTTCTATCAAACAATGCCAACATCCTGTCGGCAAAATGAATAGAATGGAGACAAACGATGTCTACTAAGGCATCCATGTATTATGTACATTGTCAAACTTGACAATTTGAAGTTTAGGTTAGTTACTCTCTGAAATCCCAGAAAAGTGCCTTCTGTGGTGGACAGTGAGAAAAGTAATAAAAAAGGCCCTCACTGGAACTGCCAAAGACCTTCTGATAATACAAGTTTGAAAAATAACAACAATGTACAACTACATGTACGCTGGTATAGTGTGTGGACATCTGATCGAGGGTAGACACAGAACCAAAGTTTTTGGGACCGAAAATCATCTAGGGTCAACACACATGAATTTGGAATTTTTGGTTACTTTTATGGTCTGAGGGTTGAGGCTACATTTTGGTACCCTTTGCACACTTTTAGAAGGAAGAAAAATGAAATAGACCAAAAAGAGCCCTTCATTAATTCCAAAAAAAGGGCTTCCTTTTGGTGAGCATGACACCTGGTGATCCCCGCTCACCCCTGATCAACCTTTCAATCTGGTTGAAGTCTCATCGGAAATTGCAATTGAAGAGATCCCTTCACGACCAGTTCCATGCCATGGGAAGTGTTTGCATAAGAATTTGGATTTATTCAGGAACACTGCACTCAAGGATGGAAACACATTC